TGGAAATAATTTAGTTTTGAGATTTTTATTGTATTTATTTCATGGGTATATTTCCGTTTCCACTCCACAGAAAAAGATGCATAATCAGCATTAGTTGTAAAGGCAGATATCCTATATTATACCAGAAAATTTTAAATCCTCTGCTTACGTCAAGTATAAAAACTGCTTAGACCAGTATGAAGAAACAAAATCTATGATCAATTAAAGCTAATAAAAGAAATAGCACCTACATCCATCTCAAGAAGCCCGCATCTAATACAAAAATATTTCATAGAGGTTATGAACAATGGCCGTTTTTCCGGAACATGTTTACGGCCGTTTACATAAACCATCCTAAATTATCAAATGATCAAAAATTGTATCACCTCCGATACAAAACTAAAGGGCAAGCTTGCTTAATACAAGTAGTAAAACAGTTCGCACTAAATGACGATAATTTCAATTTTGCTTGGAAAGCTCTAATAGCACAATATGATAACGAGAGAATTTTGATCGATAAACAAATTACATTATTAATGAACTTCCCAACAATTCAAAGGGAAACACGTGAAAATTTTGTTAAAATTCAATCCAGTTTTCAATTTTTTGTCGGTTCTATCGACACAAAACATTCCCACAGACAATTGGGACCCTATTCTGGTAAATATATGCATAATAGCAGCATTACCAGAAATATCGTTACTGTTGTGGGAGCAATCGCTTTCATCTCGAAAAAAAATGCCCAACGTGGCTGCAAGTAAAAAACAAAAAAAAAACTGAACTAAAAGGTATTCAACACGACCTTAATAGAAGCTTTCTCAGATCCCAAGTCAGTAAAACGACAATTTAAATAGAAGCTTGTTCAAAACACAATCCTTATCATCACAGAACAGAACAAATATACCTCTTGCGAACTCTGTACAGGAGGGCATAAGCTCAAATCTTGCGAAAGACAAGACAAAAGGACTTTGTACAAGCAGCCTATCACATGCACATACACTTAAAAAGTGCCAAAGTAAATTTAATTGCGTTTACTGTCATAAACGGCAGCATTCAATACTTCATATAAATAATAACATACAGCTATGTTTAGTGAGTAATCACGTTTGTTGGCTACTCTTTCTCATAAACAGCAAAATCTTATCGTTTGTACGATTGCAGTGAGAGACGAATGGTTGACAAGCGAGATGTCATCTTTGATGAATCTACGACAGGCAGCATACGAGAAAAAGAAACAGAACAAGTATAAGTGGAAATAGGTACAATACCAAACAAGCCGCGTAGTGAGGAAGAAAGTTCAAACGACGGCAGGGAAGCAGAAGTTCATCTGGAGTAGAAATACGTAATAGCTTCAGAAGACGCTAAAAGTGAAGCAGGCGAAGACACTGAAGTACATGACGACACCGATAACACAACTGATATCCCAAGTGAAAACATTGCAAACGGAAAACGAGGAAGCGGTAGGCCGAAAATTTTTTGCACTGGTAAACCTGGTTCCAGAAATCAGTTCCATTTGGTAAATTAAGGGAATAGCAATAACAAGATACCGAGCACTATAAACAAAAAGCCATGTCAATGTATTGGTATATTTGCAAGAATAATGGATTTAAAAGAACTTCCTAAATGGCCCCACCTTGGGTGACAACTTGAAAATTGATGGTTACCTATTTTTTATTCTGAAATCGATTTCGATGGTGGCCCCTTGCTATTGGAAGAATCATGTAACTGCATTAAAAATACATGCACTTCCTCCTTGCTTTCTATTTTAAAACCCTTTCCTATATCAGAATGTTCGGCCTTGCTATTGATCAAAAACGTGAACTGTATTTTGTTAATTGGCTTCAGTTCATATACAAAAAAGTTTTTATAATATGAATAAAGAATGCTTACATTTTATTGATAGTTGTTCACCAATATCAATTTTGTGAACAAATTTCATAGATTCACATGATTTTTCCCATGTGAAGTTCACGACAAGAAACACAAATTTGTGAATTTTTCAACGGTAAATGACGTTCACACGAAGTTTGTAATAAGGCTGATTGTTAACTTACTTGAACAAAGGACACTCCGTTTCTATTTCAATATTTTCTTGTCCATCTTCACGCACTGTTTTCTTGTGTACAGTACCACCGAATTCCTTATTTATAAGTTGCATACCATAGCAAATTCCAAGAATTGGTATCTTAATTTTAAAAATATCGGTATCATAATTGGGCGCATCTTCAGCATACACAGAGTTTGGTCCACCAGAAATAATAATACCCCTATATCCGTTAGCTTTTAAGACAGCAGCTGATGTGTCTAACGGTAAAATTTCCGATTCCACAAGTAATTCTCTTACTTTGCGATCTATGACCTGTAAAAAATATATAATTTTCTTAAATTCTAAGGAATTATAGTTTATCACATACCTTCCCGTATTGTGCACCTGCATCCAAAATTGCCACTTTGTCGTGTGGTATTCCATTCTCTGATGATAAAAATTTGTTTGTTACATTCATACCGATGTCGCTTATTGCTGAAAATAAATATGAAATTTATTTCTTCCTCAATTTACATACTTGTATAATAAATATACTGGATGCAGGTATATGCACTACATTGTCGTCATTCCTTCATATTGCTTGATTATTTTCGGAATTAAAGTCTTCATGATAAGACGACTACTATTTTCAATAAAAATCTCATTGTTTTGGTTGATTAGGAGCTTGGATATTTCAGAATCGGCAAACGACTGACTATTTATCTATAGTGTAGAATCTTGCCAATAAAAGTGCATCGTCTGTGAATAATTTTATTTTACAAGATTCAATATCTTATATAAATAATGAAAATAATTGAAGATCCCTGTGGTAACTCTATTTCCGGATTTTTTTTCAAGATAATGTATTTATAACTACAGTTATTTCTTTTTTATTGTTATAATAAAATTAAACAATTCAAACGCCATATTTCTTATAAGAACATTATAAATTATACATAAATAATCGGTAACTGTTCTTTACTTTTTCCACCGTTACAAATGTGGACATCACTCAGTTTAAAGTGAAGACAATATGCTAAAACTTAAACTGACACATAGTATATAGGAAAATTTCAGATAGTCAGAAAACTATAGGTAGGGCCAACCCAAGAGAAAATGATCCCGCAGTATGTATCCTCTGAGTGAGAGCAGTGAGTTAAGATCATAAAATTTATTCGAGAAAAAACCACTATATACAATGTAGAACAAAAAAAATATGAGCACTAACACGTCGTCAATTTGAAGCGTGAATAAGTGGACAATTATATAAGTACAGAAGAAAGAATCGGTTATTTTGTGTAGATTATTTGTATCGGAAAGCATTAATTGAGATGAACTAAAGCGAATTCAATAGATTCAGTGCAAATAGTTTCACAATTTAGGAAAAAAGTGAATAGGGCGAGAAATGAAGGTCAAAGTATTAGGTAAATTACAACACATATTACGCTGATCTTCCATGTTATCACAAAAACACATCGCAGAAGGGGTAAGTCTCGCAAAACTACAAGCTCTGAATATAAGGAATTTTAAGGAAACTTTAATTAATATATGCGCACTATTTAATATTAAATAAATATGTAAAAGCTATTTAGTGATGTGTTAGTAGATATAATGTTGAATAATATAAATGTAACACATTGAAAAATTACATACTTTAATTAGTGAATTGATGGACTTGAAACGCGAATACTCGACAACTATAAGTCTCCTGCGGCTATATGTGTATATATTAGTATATCATCTCCGAGTTCGAAGATAAAGTGAGTATGGGCGGACAGAGGATGTTTTCATATATACATGTAGCCAATTTCATGGATTCACATAAAAAAATTACATTTACGGTTAGGAAAAATTTTCGAATATGGGAGATCTATCCCATGTGAAGTTCATGATAAGAAAAACACAAATTTATGAATTTAATTATGGGAAATGGCGTTCACACGAAGTTTTCCATATGGCTGATTTTTAACTTACTTGAACAAATGACATTCAACAGAAGACCTATAGTTTTCGAGATATTCTTCTTTAAAATCTGTAGAAGTAAGAGAATAATACGGAAATTTTTGAAAAAGGGCCAAAACTATGGCGCCAAGGCTCCAACGAGAGGAAACGCGAAACTTACATCGCTCCAAAGGGGAAAAATTTGTAACGAAGCACTCAGAATAAGTTATCTTCTCGACAAATCAGTTACAAATTCGTTACGAAAGCACTCGGAATATGTTATCTTCTCGAGATCAAGGATAAATTAGATCTTCCCGTCACCCCACTGATGTTCATAACACAAAGCGATTGGAATGGTGTAATGTTATTTTTTCGGATGAATAAAAATTTAATTTGGACGGCCCGAAATGTTACAGCTATTTTTAGCATGATGTAAGCTAAGGAATTTCGGAGGAGGAACTGTATTGGTTTGCGCTGCCTTTTCGTATTTTGGAGCATCGCTAATTTGCTCTATTACAATGAAAATGAACTCCGAAATCTAAACAGAGTTGTTAAAAGATGCGATGATGACTTATTATAAAAATTATCGTGAGAAAGAGTTCATTTTTCAGCAGGATGATGCATCCATACATGTTTCGAGGCAATCGAGAAAGTGGTTTTCTTCAGAAAACAATAAAATGCTGCAATGGCCCAACCCTATCGAGAACCTTTGGGGTATACTTGTTGGTAAAGTATACTCAAAAGGAAATCAATACATCAGTGTTCTCGAACTCACAAATGCGATTCGTCAATCTTGGAATGAGATCGGGTCATAAACCTTACAAAACCCAGCTGATTCTATGCAAAGTCGAAGTTTTTGCATCATTTAAAATAAAGGAGGCCCCACGAAATACTAAAATTGATATATAAACTTTTACTTATTATTAAATGTGTATAAACATATGTCCACCCTAGAACACACTTTTCGATGAAAAAAAGGAGATTTTTTAATAAATTTTTATACCCTTTTAAGTTAAAAATTAGTAAATACATTATCCTCTATTTTCTAAATCAAACAAATTTATTTTTTACTACAAATTTATGCAAAAAAGAGGTGTGCGTATAAACGAATGTCTACCACTGTATATTATCTGGAACATCTTCTATCCGCACATACCCATTTTATCCCCGAATTCGGGGTGATGATTAAATAATTGTGATAAGTATAGTCAGACAGATAATAGTACGTACCCCTTCCAAAAAATAGGTTTAAGAAAAACTATACATTTCTAATCGATGTTGTCTTCGCGTATGGAAGTTTAATGATACATACATACACACAGCCAATAAAGTCTGCGTTTACCCGACACATTTTTTTAAGTGAAGTAAAAACACAATGTAAATAGGTAATTCAGTTCAAATTTTCTGCATGTATTTCTTCTTTATATTCTTAAGTTCAAAATACAAAGACAAAAATATATATTTTTATTTTCATTTTTGTGATAACGGGATTTTAGTGTAAGAACAAGTAAACATAGGCACCATTAAGTCTGCGTTCAGTTAGCTTGAATTGGAAATATCGTTACTTCTCATGAATTTGTTCGTTCTTTTTGCGTAGATTTTATGGTTTTTTAATATAATTAGTCGTTTAAAAAGCTCGTGACGCGTTTTAATAATATTAAAAAAAATGGAAACCAAAGGAAAAGAAATTAGTCTGTCGGAAAGAAAAATTATCATTAAGTTGTGGAAAGATGGCGAAAGTTTCAGAAAATTGGGCAAACTATTGGAAGAACGTATTCTTCTGTCCAGCGCGTCGTAAACAATTAAAAAAAAACCGGAATTTTAACGTCAAAACCGCGATCTAGCCGTCCGAAAATATTATCAGCCCGGGAAGAACGGAAAATAATAAATATGGTAAAAGTTAACCTTCGAATTACGCCCACAAAGATTATTGAAAACGTAAATATAACCACTAAAAAAACAATTTTTGCCGAAACTGCTAGAAAAATTTTACGAAAAGCTGGATATCATGGTAGAGTTGCTCGAAAGAAACCATATATTTCACTTGTAAACAGGCGAAAGCGCATTGAATTTGCTCATACTTGTAAATATATTAACAAGTCGCCGGAATTCTGGAGATAAATAACATTTTCGGATGAAAGTAAATTTTGCATTTTTGGCATAAAAGGTCGACAAATTGTGTGGCGCAAGTCAGGAACTGCCCTTGATAAGCTTATTCGATTAATCGAAATCTCTTGTTGGTACAGTTAAACACGGAGGTGGCGGAATTATGGTGTGGGGTTGGTAGTGTGGGTCAGCTTGAAATTATTGAATCCACAGTGGATAAATGGGATTATTCGAACATTTTAATAAACAATTTAAACAAAGTGCAGAGAATCTTGGATTATCTTCGACGTTTTGATTCCAACAAGATAATGACCCGAAGCATACTGCGGAAATAGTTAGACTTTGGCTCTTGTACAATGCTCCTAGACAACTTAAAACGCCCCCTCAATCACCTGACCTCAATCCTACTGAGCATCTATGGGATCTGTTGGAAAAAAGAATTCGTCAGCATACGATACGACAAGTGCAAAAATATTATAGAGGAAGTTGCTTCATGTGTCATTTACATAATAATTGACGCGGTATGCGGTCATTTTTGAAGTAAAATATAAAAAGTTTGATGAAAATTAATCGAAAAACCGAGGACATTTGTATTAAGATCGAAAATAATAAAGTTACGAAAAGTGAACATTTGTAATCTTGGAACTTTATATTAAAAAATATTAAAAATATCTTCTTGAATTATATTGAAGGCCATAAACTTAGACTCCGTTTTATTGTTATATTTTAGTTTTATCAAAGGTGCCATATACACGTGTTCAACCACTATACTAGAGACGATTCTGGATCCCACTCCGCTCTATATCGTTGTGGAAATGATAGACGTTGAACAGAGAACGCTCGGAAACAGGAAAAATATTACCAAGACAATATACTTTGAACAAGTTCGGGGTACCCGAAAATTTTTACTCTTGAAAGTTGCAAGGGTCAAAGCAGTGAAAATATCTTCAGGTGTTAGGAACTCTTTATATTAAAAATGTTGCGAAACAATTTAACATTCTATATTCGACGAAATCATGAATGAATTACAATCAAATTTGGTATTTTATTAAGTTATATTATATGTAGGTCATAAACTCAATTAGTTTTGTAACTGTTATATATTGTAACTTGCGAATGAACACATTCGGTTAACTTTTCTGTGGCCATACCGAAATAATTGAAAAATGTCGCAAGAATTCATTCAAAATTAACATTTTTGATGTCATTTAACTGAATAATGTTTTTGTTTACAAGAATTTTGTTGCTGATTTGGATCCCAACATAGGAATCCACTCTTTACAGTGTTTGGATTAAAGCGGGTTAAACCGAAGAGCAAAACCAAGCGACAAAAAGAAACGTTTACACCAATTCAGGAAGGTATAAGATGCGTTGATGCAAGATATGGCGGATCTACTCACGACACATTTGTGTGGAATAATAGCTCGTTGAAAATATATTTGGAACGG